GTTTAATAAATAGCTCGTGGCAGACACACATGTGACATCATCGTTTAAAAAATTTAATGTGCTCTTTGGCTACATTAATAAACATAAAGTGCACATGAAGGAAAAAATAGTTCACTGTTTTCTTATAATAAGGTCACATTGGTGGGACCATAACGTTCACATCAGGGCAACGGACATGGAGAAGGAAGCTGACAAGTGAGACAGTGTACAAATAGGGCAACTGGGAGGAGGGGCGTCTGAAAACCTCTCCAATGCTTCAAGATACATCACCTGGAGCAAGGCCCATGCAAATGTATTAATCATCCCTTTTTATGTTCTGTATTTCTGATCCTTTGGTATCTGGAGCCTTGCTGACCCTGGAGAGACTACTTCTACCAGGACTAGCAACTTCCTAGACGGCCAGCACCTTCCAGAGAGCGCGCTCTTCAAATGCAAAACACCAAATTCAAAGCTTCTACCCTAAGCCAAGCAGACTGTCATGCTGAATGACTTTCCCCCTGCTCTAATCACCACAGGGCCAGGTAGGTAGCAGACAACTAGGGACTGCCCTTACACCCCAGAACTCACCGATGTCCTGAGCCTGCTTTCCTGCAGAAACATACAGCTTCTTGCCCACATGTCCCCCTTGCTCCCTTTGCTTTCTGAACAGCACTGCTACTTCTGCATGTGGCCCTGTGTGACATGACAAGCCCCCTCCTCTTGGCAACTGTGAATAACAAACTATCTTTTCAATGGCAGTTGCCTCCTAATCTGTTGAACTCACCACAGCTGAATGATAAGGAAATCTACATGCTAAGAGAGTAATGATAGAATCTTACGAACTAGAAGAAATATTTACTTGTATTTTCATATAAACAAACATTTATTGAACACCTACTGGGACTATTCATCTAAATTAGAATGCTACTTTAATGTGTAAGACTGTACTTTCTCTTCTGTGCCTTTCTTTATAAATATATTGCTGGACACCCTTTCGGGGTTAGGCCCACTTAGTTTCTGAGTAGTTGAGAGATTCAGGATCGCTGAGTGATAGCGGTGGTAAGAGTACAGTAGCGTCACATTTCAATATTGTAATTGGCATGGCCATCCCAGTTCTCTTAGTTTCAATATTAGCCCTGAGAATATATCTCTTAGGCTCTTCTGCTGTCATTTACTTCCTTGAAATTCTTTTAGCTGTTCATTTTATGAAGTACATTTTAGACTTCACCACCTCGGTCATTTTGCTCTGAATATCAGCCAGTGTCTTTTTAAAACTACGCTGCTTGGATTACTCTAGAAATGGTCTTCCAGCTCTGAGAGGACGCTGTGCATCCTGGTTGGAATGCTCTATTTCTCTCAAGACCACTAGAATTATACTTTGTATTCAATATCAATAAGATGATAATCTAATGTACCTTGTAATAAAGTGCTTCATTGAAATAAAAGTGATAGCATTCATGCTCTAGCTGGCAAGCAAACTAATTAAAAGATTATCATATACTCATATTCTTTAAGCCAACAAGTCTTTCAATATATTTTAAATTACCTTTTGATACTATAATCTTTCTTTTTATATTGGAAAAGTTAACATTCTCACTAATGGAAAAAGTTTCATAACTGAAAATAGACATTCCAGCTAATATAAATTAGCAGGTTCTGCTGCACTTGGAAAAAAGGGGGGAAAGACCCTACCTGAAAGAATGATGGAAATGCAGTCACCAGGATAATCTTCAGGAAGATTTTGTTTTCAGGAACCTTGTTATACTACTACTAATATTAATATTATTGTCTGCAACAATGTTAAATATCATCTGGCAAAGAAGTCTATGATAAAACCTCTATTAATTATTTTATTAACAATTAAACTATCACCATTTGCTAACTTTTAGGGAAAATCCTTCCATTAAGAAGGATTTTTTTGTGATTTAAATAGCATGGTACTTTTTTTGTGATTTAAATAGCATGGTACTTTATTTTTATAATATATTTTGTCCTATTTTAAAAACTGTATGATAGGTATTTTAAATTGTGTTGTAGACCAATTATTAATGATACAATTAACCCTTCTCTTAGAAAGGGGACCTTTAAAGAAAACCTCCTATTGAAATTCCAGTTTAATATCTGAATTATTCCGCATATGGTAACAAAATATTTTTTCCAATGGACCATTCAAGCTGCATTTACTGATAGCGGTGAGCATCAAATGCAAGTTTGCTTAAAAGATTTATTTGACCTTCCATAATAAGCTACTAGAGCTTTCAAGGTCAAATTAAAACGGATGTCAAATTTGTTTGTGAGTCAGAAATATCCAGGTTGTGCAAAACTCAATGAAAGCATTTGCTAAAACTCAATGAATAGTAGGTGTTTGGCTGCAGATGGTGATGGTGAACGCCCAGACAGAAGAGTTTATCACAGTCTCAAAATTCTCTCCGTTGGGAGGGTGCTGGTACGTTAAATGTCCTCTAAGTCAGCTACCCATTTGAGTATTGCATCTGTGACCTTCGTTCTTGTTTGAACATCTATTCACTCCCAAGGTAGCACAGAGCTGTTTTTCATGTTCTTTCAGTTCCTTCTTTGGGAAACACTCATGCTCATTTAAAAATCAAGAGCCTCCAAGCTAGTAGAGAAAAACAGGATGTAACCCAATTTAGAAATGCAATATTAGCACAGATTAAGCATTTGCTTGTTCTACATAGGGAGCAGATAATTGAGGCTGAACTCCCTCCAGAAAAGCTTCTGAAGAATTATAATGGCTTCTGTACCTATATACAATAAACAACATTCAGGCCTGTGGAACGATCCTCAGATTTAGATGTTTGTTTCCCTTCCCCAAAATTTTAGAGCCTACCTACATTAGAGAATTTTATGGAACCTGAGAGAAAAGCTGCCCTTTGAGTCCTACCTTAAATTCTTCATTTCCTTTACAGTACCAGGATTACCAGGTATTCCCTCAGGTTACCGGGCAGAAGAGAAATCTAGATTTATACCCACGGACTGGGATGAGAGGCGAGTGAGGAAGCCTAGGGACGTGATTTACGCAACAGTAGAGGACATAGTACTGCAATTTATTACCAGGGAGCTGTATAATCATCAGCAAGGGTTTCTCTGATTCTCAGGTTCCCCATCTATAATGGGATACACTTACAATTCAGGGTTGTGAGAGTTAAAAGAAATAATGGAGGCGAGGTAAAAAATGAAAGTGCTTTATCTCTCCTCATTACATCTTTAAACTTAGTAGCAACACAGTTAAATGCCATCCCAATACGACTAAGCGTTTAAACTTAAGGAGTCTGTCCCTCTTAGCTGTCATTCCAAATACCTCAGGAGCCCAAGTAAAAATTGAAAATGGCAGTTTTATGATGTTAAATATAATAATAAAAACAACAGCTGCTGTCTACAGAGTGTTATGTGCTAATCACTGTTCCCGAATGCTTTACCTGTGTACTCTCTTCCCTACTGTTATGCCTGAGGAGGGACCGGTCTGGGACTTCGTCTTTTGTCTTATCTGTCCTCTGCTGATGCCTCCCACCTCCATCAACTACTCCTGTATTTGATTAAATGTTAAAGAATAAACTTGATCTTTTTTCTGGAGATCCTTCATGATTGCTTTCTCCTGCTTCAAGGTCCATAATCTGAGTGGCAAACATGTAGTTAGGAACAACACTCCTAAGAAGCCTCCTTTTCTTAGCCCTTAAGTTAGGCAGTCAGAATGACCAGAATTTGTTTTTGAATTATTTTTTCATTCATGATGATTTTTGGTTGAGAATTCTAAAAAATGTGTATAACTCCTGTGTGTATCTGTCCTTATTATATATACTTTCAAGTATTTACAATTAAAAAAATAAACATAAGATTGGCGTTCATTGATTCATTCACTGATTCATTCATCCAAGTACCAATAGAACATAACAGTGAAGGTCATGTCTTATTGACATGTAACTGAACCTGCCTTGATATGTTATTTTTTGAAGGCTACCAAACAACAATAACAACACAACCTCTCCCTTCACGTCTCAATATTTTATCTTTTACTGGTGCTTTTTGTTCTTTTACTGTATATATATATACAGTTCATGTGCCATAAAGTTCATGTGAAATTTAAATAGTGTGCATGAACTTCATGGTCACCTTGTGAGTATACATATACATGTACATATATAAACTTTTATCTCACAGGTTTCTTTCTCTTTTTCTCCACAGATTTGGGAAGAAATCACACAGTAATTATTTTCCCCACGTCATCTCTTGCTGACTAATATTGCTAACATCACTGGTCTTAGACTTCTAAAGATGCCAGAATTAATGTTGCTGGATTGAGATAGGACTTTTAGTAGTCTTTATTACAAATTGTGGCAGTGTTATCTACCCAATTTTATATTCTATTTGCTATTCCTGTTTAGATTTGGGGGCGGGGAGAAAGATAACTCTCCATCTCACAGAAGTTTGCAAATGCTATCACAACGTTCCTCCAGGATGAGTGTGGAGGAGCAGCATTCTTGATTTCTTGACAAACTATCCATGCGTGGCAAGGGTGTATTCGAAGCACTTTGTTTCTTTTGAGGAGTAGACTAAAATAAAAATCCCATTTCCACAAGAGCACAGTTCTGGCCATTCCCAGTGACACTTATTCTTTGAAGTGTGAGTTTTGTGTTCGTGTGGTTTGGTAGGTCACGGAATATTTCATTTTGTTGGAGAATTCTTTAAGGTGCATATTTCTACCTCTCCAATGCAACAGGAAGCTCCTTTTTTAGAAGAACCATAATATCATAATGAATCTTGTATCCTGTGAAGTCCCTTAAACCAGACCCCTCAAAGCATTAAGCGTAGTGACGAACACCCAATAACAAACTCAAGAGCCACATGCCAAACGGCTGTGACACCAAGATCTTTTTAACAATCAAAAGCAGCTGTAAAAGTGCCAATATGCCAAAAACCTCAAAGAATTTTTGAACGTGAAAACCTTGTCATTTCCCTAGTTGGAACATGTGACATCAGCGCGAGTGTCAGAAAGAGTTACTTACTAAGGCGAATTTCTTGTTGAGAATCATCTGCTCCACCAAAGACGATTCGTTGTGGAAGAGGTGGGGCTGCATGTGGCTCCACATGTGAGGAAACCACCAGAACTCATCCACGGACCCCAAAAGACAATCGTCCCCTTTATCTTCCTCTTCAGTTCCTTTGGGGGGGGGGATATCATTCAATTAATTCCTGTGACACTGACTTATCAATTATCTATCTCTCTACTATCAAATATGTGTCTAGAAGATATCATTTAAAACTGTTTTACATTCACATGAGGGAAAAATACAGTTCCCACCGCTGACTTAATAGATAGCAGTTTTCTTTTGAATTTAGAGAGATGGTCCAAAACAAGAAAATTGAAAGTGAGACAAAGTACAAATTGCATTCTTAAGTAGCTCCTTTTGCACAGGGGGTCAAAGTCTTAAGACCTGTCTGAACTGTTTCAAGCTGCCTTAGCTGCCTTAGTACCCTTTAGTTAATTGTAATACTAAAGTCCCAGTCCAGTGGGAAGTACTGTGCAGGCTTACCCTGTATTGTATGTAAATAAACAAGGATGCAGAGACAGAACTCTGCATCACTTGTCAGAAAGACATTTAAGGCTCAAAAAATAAAAATAAAAAAAATTTAAGGCTCACAAACAGGCAGGTGGTGCAGAATCTTACTCTCCCTAGAACACCTGCTGCCGCCCAGGAGTGAGTTTCCTATCTTGACCAGGAATGAGAGACCCATGTAAGTGACCTCTAATGAACCCATCTTGCTCGCCAAGCTGGACTAGTCTGGGTCATGTTCTTTTGGTCTCTCAGCATCATCTCAATTTGGGAGGTGGTTTTTCTACACCATCTTGGGATTTTCCAGAAACAATTATATAAGGCTTTGAATATGAAAGGCAGCAGAGGAAAATCTGGTAGTTGGGGAACAAACTGAGATTATGACAAAACTCTTTTAAAAGTTGTTAAACATGAGACATAGACAAGAAATCGCTGCAAGCTGGAGAGACATGATCATTCTCGAGGACATGAGAGCCCTTAACTTTCAGCATCTTTGTGCACTGTGTAGTTTATAGAGAATGGAGGCGCAAGTAGGAAATGTAATTGAGGGAGCAGTTGGGAAATGGCTATCAGCGCCCCAGTGGGAGGTCCTTCTGATGCAGGTTGTGCGTTTATTTGAGTTCCATGGTAGGTCTGAGAAGAAACTTCAATATTTGGTGAAAACTAAAACATAAGAAGGAAATGAAAAAATTAGAGAAAACTGAAGGAAAGGAAAGGAAAAAGGGTGAAAGTAATGGAAAAAAAATGAGAAGTGGTAAAGTCCTACAGGGATGTCCAACCTTTTTCTTGTTTACCACCCGCTGGAAGAATAAGAGTTGCCCTGGGCTACACATTAAAGATACAAACTGCTAATGAGCAAAAGAAAAGATCTGTGGGTACTTTTCACAATATCTGACACTACGGATGAGAAAAATGGGCTTTAAAAATTTGCATGCAGCCCACGGGCCATAGGTTGTACAGGCTTATGTAGCAAAACCACCAACACTGTTCCTTGGTGACGCTCATGTTCCATATACTTGTCATGGCTCTGGGGCTGCTGGACGCAGCCTTCCCATCCTGAAACTCTCATTTTCTTGAGAGTCATCCCTGTTGTTATTTCTCTAATTTTTCATACATGGGCTCATTTTATTTCCTTCATTTTCCACGACCTGCAGTTCAGTTGAATGTGGGAAATTATCACAGTTCTCCTAACTTATCTGAGCATCTCTTTTTGCACTTCCTCAGAAACAGCTTCTTTACTAAAGCATAAAGTGAAAGCAGCATAAGGCATGTCATGGTATTGGTAACCCCAAAACATGCAGCTGCACTCGAATTTCAGCCAGAACATGGAATCCAGTAAGAGCTGAGAGCAGTGGTTCTTCCTGTGATGTTCACTTTGTGTGGAGAAAATCTGCTCTCATGTTTTCAATGGCAGCTCTGGTACGACTGGTTATATTAGGGCCCTGCAGGCTGCAGACGGAGGATGGATAGCGGCCCTGGACCTGTGCACTGAACCCAGCTCTTCTTACCACTATTCTTTCATTCAGTTACCCAAGAAAAGGAAATCAGGGCCTGTTGGCAGGAAAAGAATTAGGTCCTATGGTTTATTGGACATTGGAAATAATTTTCCAAAGACAAAGGCATAGCATGAGGCTTCATGGTCATGTCAACTTACGCAGGAGCAACAAAGATTGATTATGATGACATAATTGTCCAATAAGGACAGTATTTTTTTTTTTAAGGACAGTATTCAAATTAACTTTAATATCCTTAAGTACACTACTGGTATGAAAGAATGTTTTCTCCCTATGTACAAAGATTACACCTTTAATTGGTTTTCTTTATTTTTTTTTCTTCTTCATCATACACTCATGTTGCCATAGTACAGTGAGCCACACTTACTTTTTAGTTTATTTTGTAGGTTCTAATACATTTAGGTTGTGTCCTTATGCCCAAGTCATATAACTCCTTTAATGTCTGTATTCACGTAGGTAAAAGAAGAATGTTTGAGAGCAAGGGTCTTGTTCTGACACATAGTGAGTAACATATAATGTCCCTTTCTTTTCCTCCTATATTTCCAATAGCCATTCTTCTTTTAGTTTCTTAAGTTTTCTTTTATTCCCCTCCACTATAATACTACATGAAGGTAGTGGCTTGTTCTCAACAGAGTACTATGTGGTGGAGGGGATATTGTGTTCAAGAACTGACCAAGCCATCATATTAACACACTAATGAATGCGTCATCAGCATGAAATGTTCTTGGGCCTTCTGAGGGGCTACCTCACGGCTTAGAGAAGCCTTCTAGAGAGAAATGCAAAAGAGTAGGATGGTAGATTCAGGCATTTAGGAACTCTGGTGATCACGATCATGGCAGGATCTTGAGTCCTTCTACCTTTTGTGACTGGTGATGCTTAATAAACACGTGTTTTGTTTCATATAAATCTCAACTAATGTGCACAATGCGAGGGTGTTCAGGGCACCCCTTGGGCAGAAGGGCTCTTCTACAACTTGAACTTTACCTCGGAAGTGGGAACATTCTGAAAATGTGTATCCCCATATTAATGTGGAAAAAAAAAGACTATGTCATTTGGTTTGCCCACAATTAACCACCTCTGCTTTGTTTAAATTCAAGATACTGTCCCGTTCCTTGACATTTTGTATGTCACCAGGACACCATATTATGAGGCCATTCACTTGCTGCATTTTTCCTTTCTTACACTGCTCCCAGGCATAAGCCTCTTAGGGCTTCCCAGAAATCAATCCACTCCAGACTTCCACCTCCCCTGCAATGTGAGTGTGGGTAAACTGAGCTGAAATTCTTCAGTTTATAGAAAGTCGCCCTTCGGATTGCTTTTCAGCTCTGTCCTCTATCACCTCCCACTCTCATTTTCCCCTATATCGTTCCTGTCATCTTGCATTTATTAATTTCTTTTAGTTGGCCTTTGCTCAAAGTTTATTTATCAAAACAGAGGAATAGATCTCAAGGTTCTTTGGAAAAATAGCTCAGGCATTTCTTGTCCCTTCTCAAATATCATAGTGAAATCTGTTACTAAAATATTCATGCATTTGAATTATGCCAGAATGATGTCTGCGTTCTGAAAAATTTATCTCAATTCATAGTAGTCTTAATTGTATGTTTTTCCTTTTATCTTTTTAGCCCTGTCTTATTTGATTTAATTTAATCCTACTTTGGGGATATTTTATATCAGAATTAATTATATTGGAAACAATTATCTATTGCTTATTACTTTAAACATTATGATAAAAAGAACTTGAAATGTAGCTCATGGTTGGATTGTCCTGGCCTCATGATATCTTTTTATCTCCCCCACTTGTGCCCACTTTTGTCAGAACTGGAGGAAGAATAAGAAATCATATTCCTCAATTTTAAGTGCCATTTTTTAAGTCAGCATAAAACTATGCTGAAACTTTCTAAAGTTATTGCAAATTATAATTTATTATGTATTTATTTAAATAAGTAGTTGCTGTAATAGTTTGTCTGTGGATTTTCCTACTCTGATATTGCATTAAAAACCATCATAGATTGAGACTTTACCTTTAACTCGCAAAGCATTGAGTTAAGCAATTTACATACATCATCTCATGTATATCTCATAACCCAATGAGGTAAGGGCCACTGCTAACCTCACATTACAGGTAAGGAAATTGGTATTTGGAGAGGTGAATTAACTTGTCCCATGTCACTGAGAGGTTTGAGCAACTTCAAATTTAGGGCCCTTAACTATATCATTCACTAACCAAATGTAGCATCCAGAAATAAGACCAGCATTTACTAATTCAACATAACATTGCTTTTCACATTGTTAATTAATTCTGTGATGTGATTAGACTTTATAGATACTATTAGTTCTCAGTGATTTGGGGGAATATAGGAAACTAGCAAACGTATAGATAAGGAGAATCTTTTGCCATTCAGCTCCCCTAATCAAGGGTTGCAAATTAAGCAATAAAAACATAATTTTTCTAGTGCAGTGCCTAAGAATTGGGATCTGTCTTAGTTCAGACTGTTTTGTGACACACAACTAGCTATATGAGCTTGGGCCTCTCTAAGTTTCCATGTTCTTATCTAGAATAGAAGCTAACATATTTTTTAGTTCTTAGGATTCAGAGGAAAGGTACATGAAAAGTGCTTTGCAAGCACTGAAAGGGAACTATGATTTTTATCTTCTTCATCTCTTTCTCACAAAAATGCACATACCCTTCAAAAATTGAAATAAATCAAACAAGATAAAGCTCTTTCCTAAAATAAATTCTCACCATTATGACAAGTGTGCCTTTCTCTTTCCTTTCAAGACAGAGTAAAATGGATAGGATTTTTAATAGAGAAATAAATTACTTATTTAGAAGGGAAACCAGTTCAATTAAACTTTATAATACTTAATTTTTTTAAGATTATGTGTTAAATTTTATATCTGTTCCCAATGAAAAATGATTTTGCTGGTCTTAGGCAATCCTGGCTACAGTTTTGTGGAAGCATTCATATTATGCACAGATGACAACACTGTTTTAAATCCTGGCCTTGGCTTCCTCCTGTGTTGTACTTTCCCTGGCTTAGAGAGAGGATACTGTTACATGAGCTGTGGGAAGTGTCCAAGTAAAGAAAGAGAACAAATCTTTCAGAGATGAGAAGGATATAGATTGGCCAAAGTTGTTCTCCAGTATTTAAGATTGGACACACGCATATACACTAAAAGAAAATAAAAAATAAGTAAAAACCAAGTTGTTAGGAGTGTTTTCTTATATTTCTTGGTATTTCCTGGGTGATTCTGGGTTGTCCTGGTTTTGCTATTATAGCTTTTCCTATAATCTCCCCCTCACCCCCTAAACACACTATGTGTTCTATTTGTCCTTGATCTTGACCTGGTCCTTCTTTATCTGTATGGTAACTTTCTTTTCTTCATTGTCAAAGAATCTAAGATCATCACCCTGAAATTGGGGTATATTTAGGAAGAGATTATGGGCAATCTTTTATTTACTTAAGCTCTTGGGCCTTCCCATTGTAAAATTTATGGTGCTGTGGGTCTAACATTGCTAGAAAGATAAAAAGAACATCTACACATAAAGATCTTACTTTATATACCTGTGCCAAGGTGGCAGAACTTTCCTATAAGCAAGACATTTGTCTAATTGTTTTCAGTTTTGAAATTACAGTAAGGACAGTAACTCAATCATAAAACAAAGTTAATCTATGATCATGAGGTTTCCAGTTATGATATTTAAAACAATCAGAAATATAGTATATTTTATATATTGATCTAAGAAATTAAGGAGAATAAGGGCTTCAGAATTTCCTCTGTTAAGATTACTCCTAAAACCTACAAAATTTTCAAATTGAGAACCTAAATTCATATGTAGTTGTATGATTATAATGTATGTGTTCCACAAATGTGTAATATGGAACATTCTAAAGTTAAGTCTCATAATTCTATACTTGTATGGAAACAAATGAAAGTTCACTTAATTCTGGAAATGGGCTTTCACTATGTTGTTCAGGCTGGTCTTGAACTTCTGGCCTCAAATGATCCTTCTGCCTTTGGGAGCAAAGTGCTGAGATTACAGGCATGAGCGACTGTGCCTGGCCTCTTTCTTTATCTGCCTGTTGGTTACACAGCTTTGTGTAATCTTTGAAAATTCACTGAACATCATACTTACAATTTATGCACTTTTAAATACATCAATTATAGTTCAATAAAAACGTAAGTCTATTAGATAATTATATAAACTTTCAAACCATCAACATTCTCTAAATTTTAAAAAACAGCAAGTTAAATGAAGTTGAATGATATACAGAAATAGTAGAAGAGGGACACAGGAAATGTAGGAAGATGTGGGCAGGAGGCATGCAATTTTACCCAGAATGGTAAGAGAGAACTTAGAAAAACAGTTGATTGCCTTTTCTTACCTGTATGGTAAAATTTCCCTGAAAATCCCAGGTTGAAGGTGAAATTTGTGATTTGTGCACGCAAAAGATTCTGAGTGTCAAGCAAGGCCTGAAATATATAATTAAAAAAATAAAGTAAAGAATGACACTGAACAGTTTTAAAAAGATATCTTGCATTCAGTAGATAAAATCACTCCTTTATATATGATAAAACTAAATGATGGGAAGTAGTTTCTTTATACTTTAAAACTAGAGAGAAACTTTTGAGATCACACAAAACATACACATATATTTATCCTTTAGCTTAGAATGCATCAACAAAAAATATCCAAAAGAAGTTAAGAAAATGCCATGAAGGCTATGTTAACCAGTTTGATGAAAATATTTCAAATTGTATGTAAAACCAGCACATTGTACCCCATGACTGCATTAATGTACACAGCTATGATTTAATAAAAAAAAAAGTTAAGTGAAAAGAGAAGTTTATTCTGCATGTATCGAAGGAATGAGTAACCAGTACATAAAATACGTTCCATTTTACCCCTCAGGGACATAGATCACCAATTGTCAAAAGAAGGACATTCATTTAAAGCAAAGCAGCTATGCAAGAACATTTGTTGAAAGGAACAAATTGTTATTTCTCAGATACATCATTGATCTTCAAAATACAAATATGAGATTCCCAGAAGATAGCAATTGCTATTCAAAAGGGAATATCATGGTAAAGTAGGGCTCTAATTTTCCCTTTCATTAAACAAACAATTGCAAAGTCATGTTAAGGTAGATGGTAAGATGTATGAAACAGTTTCAGTCTTCGGTGTCCAAACTATATGTGTGCAAGGTGCGGACAATTCCCAGAGACTCTTGCCCAAGTGGAGTTGAAGTATTCCTTAGGGGAACTTCACCAAAGACTAATCAACTCTTCAATGGAAAGCACCCTAAGATTCTTGAATCTCTTGCTTCAGCAATCTTTAACTTGAAGTAAAGATTTCTACCCAAAAGACAAAACATCATTTTACCACAAGGACATTTTCACTAGAATGTTCATCGCCACTCAGTTCACAATCACTAAGATGTGGAATCAACCCAAGTGCTCATCAACATATGAATGGATTAATAAACTGTGGTATATATATACCATGGAATTCTATTCAGCAATACAAAGATGGAGACTATATTTTTTGTATTAACCTCAATGAAGGTGAAGATCATTCTTCTTAGTAAAGCATCATAAGAATGGAAAGGCAAGACTACAGTGTATTCAATACTAATATGAAATCAATAGATAAATAACTGCATGCCCATGTGAGAGAAAAGGCACAATTAAATTCAAATGGGAGGAGGGGAAAAAAGAAAGTGAAGGGGGAGGAGGTAGGGAGATTGGTAAGCTCTCACCTAATGGGCACAAGGTAATGATATAGAACACAGTGCCTGGGTGAAGGGCTCAACTACAACACGAATGTAACCTAATCATTTGTACCCTCATGTTCACCTGAAATAAATTTTAAAATAAAAAATCTTCACCTTGTTATTTCCAGCAGTCTTGGACTATTGAATCATGATCCTTATCCAATGCTAATCATACCCTCCTCACCCCTACCTTTGAAAGACCTACCTTTATCTAAACTTTAAGTTTCCAGTTTTTAGTAAATTTGAAACTTGCTGTTCCCTGTCCTGGTGTTCTCCCTTACTTCATTCAGCAATAAACTCAGCTTTGTCTGAAAAAATCCCCTACTTCTCAGAAGAAAAGCTATTTTGAGTCAGAATTTTAATTGTTATACCCTATAATATTTACCACACTATGAGTATTTAATGGACTTCTTTTTTTTCTATCTTTCCATGCTTATTTTATTTATATTCTTATATTCCCTCTCCTTACCCCATATCCAATTGAATGTTGAATGTTCATCTCAGCTAAGCAGAAAATAGACAAGCAGAAAGTAGAGTTGTTAGATTTGTAATGATCTTTGTCAACATTTCTTTAACACATGAACAGGAGAAATAACTTGCCCATTTTCACACATGAAATTGGTGGGAAATCATTGAGTAAGGACATAGATCCATATTAGGTCTTCTTTCTACCACATCCTGTCATCTTTCCCCTTTTCCATAGCACCAAAGGGCCCACAACCAGATCTTATTTTCTTCACAGTAAAGATGACACCTGGAAGCCCCGCCCCATCATGTTCATGGCCCCAGTATTTTGGGGGGACGAACAGATACGCAATTTTTGATTCAGTGACTACCCCATTATTGTATGCCTTGCCTGAATGCAAGAGACTCTTCCTGTTTATAAAAGCAGAGGAAGACAACTTCTGGATCCCAAGTTTAAATTCATCTGATCAAGGGTAAGTTTTTGAAGTGCAGGTGTCTAAGATGTAAGAGGCTCATTTTAGAGATACTCAAGACACATAAGTTCTATAGAGGTTTGGATTTTGAATGTTTTAAATTCTATACAGAGCTCCCCTCAACCATGCAATTTTTCTACCAGATTGTCTTTCTGCAAGATTACCATTTTGGAGAAGAACTTGAGATGATTGTGCTGCCTATGATAAATGATATTTTTGCCAAATACATTGAATTGTAAACTCTGATGACTCAATATTGAGAATTTGGTGTGGTCTGATATTTCAGAGCTAATTAATGTAAGAACTTTAGTAGATCCACCTTTGGTGCAAATTAGACATGATTCCTATGTTGGTTTTGATTTGGGTTATTTAATTCAATTAAATTTTTTCTTACCACCAACTGTTAAACTGAGCATTTGAATTTTGAATTTGGGCATTAATTTGATATACCATTTTATCATGAGATGAATCTCTTTCAATTGGCAGTGCTTTTATTTTTATTTAACACTTCCTAGGTAGTTTACAGTTTTAAAAGTGTTAACTGAGTTATCTTTTCTCAATGGATATCTTAAGTTCAGCTCTCCAAAGGTTTTTCATTGAATCAAAAAATGCTTATGAAAATAGTTCTCAAACATGAAGTTAATACTGTATATGAAGATTTGTCCAGTAGCTGCTTAAATAGTATGCTGAGTTTTCAGAATTAAAATAAATATCAATTTCAATGATTGATATATGTGTTAAAGCAATTTTAAGATCATTAAGTATGTGTAATATCCCTTCAGTCAGAAGTGAAAAATAGCTAACTTGACAAAACTGTGAAGACTATTATATAAAAGACTATATAAAGGTGACTATGGGGGGAAACAAATTAACTAATGGTGCTGTCATCAGGGACAGGTTAGGTTCTCACAAGACTGGGGCATGGGGTGGGCAGGGACAGGAAAATTCAGCCAGCTGAGCTCACGTGAGCAAAGGGACTTCCAGGGATCTTCCTGGCATAGGGAGGGGTGCTGACTGAGTGTAAGGTGAATCTTTTCCTTTCTGTCCTTATGGAAGGAGCATCATGTAAGGAATTGGAATGTATGGATTCAGATTCCAACTCTGAGACTTACAGGGTTGGGAGTCAGATGGTCTCAAATGGAATTTTGGATCTGCCTCTTTTTGGCTTTGGATATGTTGTTAAATTCCCCTAGCCTCAGCCTCATCATTTATAAAGTAAGGCTAATATTGTAATATTGTAACATCAAAGTGATGTTGTGAGGACTAAAGAATTCACTTATGCTCCTGAATAGAGGCTGGCGCATAGTATGTGCTCAATGGTTAATAATGGTTGCTCTTCTAGTATTGCCACTCCTGCTGTTACTACTGTGATACTAATATGGTTGTTGTTATTGTTAAATGATGTAGGACAAGATAATTCATTTTGCTGCTCTGAACTTGTCCCTTCATTTTAAAGTGGAGACAATGATCTAAATCATAGAATTCTGGTGAAGATCATAAAAGAGACAATGTATACAGAAGTGCTTGGTAAACATCTTTAAAAAATACCATACAATATCAGATGTCGATATGATGACTGTCAGCAGTGTATACATGGGGTTGTGTGTGTGTGTGGCTGGCTCTGTGTCTACGTCTCATGTACTTCTTCAACTGTGTTTCCTCAGTGTTTTCCTTGCCTTTAATTCTTCTTTTCTCCTCCCGTCTCCCCTTCTCCCTTTCTTCCTCTTTCTCATTTCTTCTCCCTCATTGAAAATCCGAGCTCTTTCTCTTCCTGTCTTCCTTTCCCTTAGATCATAACTTTCTTCATTTTTTTCATTTTACTCAATTTCATTGTCTTAACTTTTCTTCTTTCAGTGGTTAAAATATAGATTCAAAATTTATTTTACGATTATTTGTTGTTTGCTCAAGGCTTTAAATCTCAAAATTGAGTACACTGGACCTTCTTCCTTTTTGTTTTCTTTTCATCCAAACTAAACTTGAATTTGAACTTTGTGACCCTTGATGGTATTTTGAATGCATATTTATAATACTTGATAGGAAAAAACCAAACCTGTCCTGTTCTTAGGTCTTAACAAGCTAAATAAAGTTCCTGTGAACTAACCTTTTAGCTAGAATACATTGACTCAAATTACTGAATTAGTCCTAAATTTTCAGATATGAGTTGGCATCTTACACACTTATTTGAAAATCTAGACTCAAACTCTAAAACACTTAAGAGATAAACTGAAACAGAAGGCAGATACTAATTATGTCTATATATATGGTAAAGAGAGAAATTTATTACCAGATAATATTTTAAATACTCAAGCAGTGATATATGCCACCTTTTACATTGTTTTTCTAAGCCATATTTTGGGGTGTCTGTGAGAACAATGTTACATGTTCATCCATTATTCCCACCTTTTCAAAATATACCTATTACTAGCCAATTCTGTGCAAGAAGCTTACATACCCAGTGATATTCTTAGAATGTATCCTTTTCACAAAATTCCTCATTACTACAATGATTTTATTCTACATTATTTTAAACTGGAACAGTTTACTCATTACTATGAACAGAATGTTATAAAAATGATACAAAATTATGCTTTGCCTTATTCTGTATATGCAATATGTCTAAAATGGTGTGGTAATTTCTAAAAAGCTAATCATAATAAACTAAATAAATACTCCAACACCACAGAAAACCATATGTACTCTGGGCAAACAAACCGTCTCTGATATATAGAGTATTTTGGCCATAGAAGAGGGAAGTAACCCA